CATTTTTACCTGTTTCATTTCATCTGCTTAAAATGTGTGCCAACTTCATTTTATTTTTTTTCTACGCATTTTGTCTCAATGACTTTCTTTCAGACTTATAGTGATGCATCATTGGATAACAAATTCTGCACGAGAATGTCGAGGATTTTATCGCAGTTGCTGTGAGTAGACAGCTTGTCAAATGTGGAAAACCCGATAGGTGTGATGTTTAAGGAAGATGAATGATAACCTTTGTCTAGTTGTACTCCGCAGAGTTATACTTCTCTCATTCGTCAGAGCTGATAACTCACAAGAACCGCCTCACATAACGACGCAGAAATATTGTTGCTTTGTCACACAATGATTGGGTGTGACTAATGTGCGATAGCTGAGGTGGGACGAGTGAATATCAATTTATTTAATGTCAGTTGCATGATAATGTACCAATGTTTGTCCTCTGCAATGCTTCACTGGGCATTAACGTGTTAGGCGTTTAGCTTGGGCTCAGCAAATGGGGTTAAATTTGCCGTTGTATAGTAATTGAACGCATGGCATAAGTAATGGAGTGCATTTTAGAATGCTATGCGAATTCCCATCTTGGAAAGTTTTTTTGCATTTTTGGTCAAGGGCAACTTTTGGTTAGAAACCCTGACACTTACGATTAAATTGACGTGTGAAAGCCGAATCGAAAAGGCCATTTGCGCAGGAATTACACTTGTGTCAATCGTGGCTGTGGTGGTAGTGGTAGTGATAATGAAGCTGTTTGGCAAATATCCGACAAGAAGCTCCCTTTACGCACACAGCACAGTAAAGCTTGCGAAATATAAAATGTGACATTAAATGAAATGGCACAATTCTTCTCATAATCACAAACCCATGCTTAATATTGGATTATTTTTAGGCCAAAATAGGATGGGTGAAGAGTACAAATTCGGTTACCATGGCAGTAATTATGGAGATATATCTGCTCAAAATTCTTAACTAAAAGGCTGCAACTGTAATTAGAGGAATGCTTAAGGAAACACTTACAGGGATCCACTTACCATTATGTCGGAATTTGCAGTTTATTACCGTCCAACTACTAGTAATCATCGGAAAACTGTTTTAATTCGAATGCATAGGTGAAATTTTGCTTCAGTTACTTCCCAGATAACTTTTCTTAAGCTATTACAGATAAAACTTTTGCTGCCATCTCCTTATTATGGATGAAAATGGCAGTAAAGCTAACATTTTGTGTGGTTTATGGAACAACTCACTGCAACGACTTTGGTCACGTTTAGTGACAAGGAAAATGCGAAGTATGTATGTTCGATTCAAATTCTGGTTCTATGATCGATCTTGCCGAGCTTTTGAAGCATTTCAACCTTGGTCCACAAACTACGCACAGTTTTTATGATTCTCTGGACGTGGAGATCAGCGGTCATCTGCCGAAATCAACGCAATTTTTTTATCACAACTGGTATAGTGACGTGGTAGACCCGGCGACCGATGCAGACGAAATTGGGATGGAATACGGAGGCCGAAGTTTAAATGAGGCATACAAGCATATATTTCGCTACTTGATGTTAAACGGGCGCTAATCTCGTGCTTTATTTTCCACATTCTGCACCAAGTGGGGCATTTCATTTGGCGCCTCCGAATGACTTCACGTATTGTAGAACTAGTGAGCATACAGAAGAAGTGCATCTGGTTTCAAGAATGCAAAAGTATTTTGACCATGCCAACTTTCGCCATATTGATTGACAAAGAAGTAACTTAGTTTGCCCCTGGAACTTCATTGAACAGGATAAGAGTTTTAACAACAAAACGCGAACTCATCCGCTTCTGGCCTAATCATTGCAAATTAATAATTCACCCTTGCATCAAAAATATTTTGCCATGATT